AGATTCAATCCCACACAGGGTCTGGAAAAGTTCCTGCCTGAAAACCTAGAAAATCACTGCCCTCGGTGCTCACAATTGATGGACCAATGGTCTCATCCATTCATTATAAGGCAGCTTCCTATGTTCCACCAGAATATATGTTCGGCCAGTTTTTGCCTTGCCTCTGCTTGTCCATGATCGGACCCCTGGCCTCCTCCAGAGGGTCAGTCTTTTTGAATTAGAAATTAGCCACCCTGTCTAAAGGCCCAGCTGCACTGTAACACCAATCTGAATAGCAATGACTCCCCCACAAAAATATTGGGAACTGTAGTTTGCTATGGGTGCTGAAAGTTGTTAGAAGACCCCTATTCCCCTCACAGAGCTATAATTTCTAGTGTTCACTAAGTAGAGGGATTGACTGTTAACCTGTCTGGAGAGATATTGGGGTTCAACCCCCAACGCCCTGCAGGTTCAGCCTATAAGGCCAAGAGAATCCAGACACAAACTGTCAGGCATTTATTTAGGCATTGCAAGACCAGTGTGGCATAACCTCAACCAGCAAATAGATTAGGGGTGGACTGACAATTGGAGTCCGGATCTTATTGGCCGTCCTGGTTGAACCCACAGGGTACCAGGTATTGAACATCAACATTTCCCCAACAAAACCACTCTGAAACTGCAGCTCTGCAAAGGGAACAGGGGGCTCCTGGCAACTCACAAAACCCTTAACAGACTACAGTTTTCAGGATTCTTTGGAGCAAGACATGGCCTTTTAAGTGGAATGATACTGCTTTAAATGTATAGTGCAGATGGGGCCTGAGACTGGGATAAGAGAGTCTGGGATTCACACCAATACGGAAGTGTGAACAGAACAAGTACCTGATGTGTTGAGTTCTCAAAACAGGAAGATATCTCTACTGCCCATTCCAGAAAAACAGAAGACAAAAGTGCCATTCCTTCCCCATCTGTTCTGCTCACTTGCCTTCCCGCTTCGAGATTTGCTCTCCAGCCTATCCACTTTCCCCTCCATATCAAGCAATCTGGTGACCAATGGAGCTGCTTGTTATTCACATTACATCCCAGTACAGTCCCATTACCAACTCACTACATTGCCAAATCAATAAAAGCACAACTGCTTGAGGTCATGGCAGCAGGAATATGGCTTTTTTATTGGCTTGGTGCTTATAGCGGTAGTAGACAATGTTGTGGAAACTATGCCATGTATGCACTGGGGGGGGGTGACAGCCGTCTGAAAAAGAGTCTGTATCTCTCCAACCTGCTTCATTAAATAAAGTGATCGCTGGTCAAGTTCAGAAAGAACATATCACCAAGATTGCATAGCAGAGAATATGTTGCTACATACTTCAAAATCATCCCTATTTCTGTCCCCACCCCCCAAATAAAGCAAGTATGAGGAGCAGGCATACCATCAACTCAGATACTTAAGGGAGTGAGGAAAAAGGTAGAAATGTCTCTGTTTCAATAGGTGTGAAGAGTAAACCCTGCTTACATCCAGCAATAATAATAATCCTACTACAGTACTACATCTTACTACATTTGCAATATTATTCTGCCAACGCTATTCTATTTTGCATAAACTTAAAAGAACACTCGCTTGCAACTGAACCTTTTGCATGCTTCTGTGCAGTCCATGTAGGAATAACAACATAACCCATTGCACCCCTTCCATCCAAAATCTTCAGAGAAATATTACAGCCATCCACATGAAATATAAACCATTCCTGTGTCATGCAGTATATATTGCTTTGCTGCCTGGTTCTGAACACAAAAATAAATGGAGGCGCAATTGTTTCCCAAGGTTGGTGGGTGTTCCTCAAGAATATAGGTAAAGGTAAAGGTACCCCTGCCCGTGCGGGCCAGTCTTGACAGACTCTAGGGTTGTGCGCCCATCTCACTCAAGAGGCCGGGGGCCAGCGTTGTCCGCAGACACTTCCGGGTCACGTGGCCAGCGTGACAAGCTGCATCTGGTGAGCCAGCGCAGCACACGGAAACGCCGTTTACCTTCCCGCTAGTAAGCGGTCCCTATTTATCTACTTGCACCCGGGGGTGCTTTCGAACTGCTAGGTTGGCAGGCGCTGGGACCGAACGACGGGAGCGCACCCCGCCACGGGGATTCGAACCGCCGACCTTTCGATCGGCAAGCCCTAGGCGCTGAGGCTTTAACCCACAGCGCCACCCGCGTCCCGTCCTCAAGAATATACCAGAGGGTTAAGAAATGCCACATTTGTGTTCCATGGAAGTGCATGTGCTAAATCCTTAGACCACAATAGTACCACGTTCCTGGATATATGATGATAGCAATAGAGGGAAATCATCATAGCATATAATGTACTATGGAACCCAAGTGTTTGGAACATTAAAAACTATGCCCCAGAGTTTATTAGACCCATTCTACAGCTGAGACTCAGCAAGGAAGGCAGCCCCATCCTTGCCACTGACAAGACTAAGACCCAAGACTCCTAAGCATCCAGGGCTTTCACTTTTAAGGCCCACAATGTGTTTTCATTTCTTTTATTTCACATTCATCTCTTCATCCAGGAAATAATTTGATACACAGATTAAATGACGTACTGCAATTTCTAAAGTGCTTTTAAAGCCAGGTCATCCCAAAAATGTTCTGTTAGTTTTATTAAAATGTATTTCTTTTATCTTAGGATATCTTCCAGCCTGAACAAGAGGCAGTTTCTCTGGCAGAGGGAAGCCTTCATCTAGCAGAGATGAAAGGCTTCTATGATTTTCCTTCACACAAGGGAGAGAGGAGCCTCCTCTCATCGCAAGAGCGTGATGGGAGGGTCACTAAGCGCAAAGTGCAGCTCTTTGCAAAGGAGACTGTTGATACAGTACCCTGTACAACAGACAGAATCCAGAGGCTGCCAGCTAGTTTGAATGTATGCATAGAATTTTGCACAGAAAGAATATGCAAAAGGCTGCCGTCCTTTAAGCCTCCTACTGTGGGAACCAAGAATGCCTCATCATAGTTTTGACCATTGAGCAAGCAGGGATTCTAGTGCTCTGAACAAGTGAAGCTGTGGTTTGACTTAGTTTGCACATTCATATCTTTTTGCCATTGTGGCAGCTAGTCCTGTATGCTCAGCTTAAACATGTAGGAACTGTTAGTGGGTTTTCTCTGAGGGCATCTTCACACATTACAAATGAAGCAGTTTCCTATTTGTGATGTGGCGGTTAGAGTGTTGGACTTAGCCATGAAGCTCACTAGATGACCTTGACCAGTGTCCCTCCCCCCTACTCTCTCTCTCTCTCTCTCTCTCTCAGCCTCCTCAACTTCACAGGGTTGTTGTGACTCAAGGAAAAAGCAGAGGGGGTGGAACAATGTCTGCTACCTTGAGCTCCGAAGAGAAGTAGAGATATAAATGTTGTGATTGCATTTATATCCTGTGCTGTCTGTCCTGGAAGGCAGCCTCTCTCCAGAGAACCAGGCAGGTGACTTTCCCAGCCCTGCCACCTCTTTTTTACTTTAACTGGAGATGCTAAGAATTTAACATGGAACCGTCTGCATGCAAAGCACACTGCTGAGTTACAGGGTCCTCTCTGCTACTGAGGAGTAGAGGGGGAAAAGGAGCTGTGTGACTCATTCATCGCACGCACAATGAGATCTGTAAATCTTGGGACACTCTGGAGCTCATGGCTGGTGAAAACTGTAAGCCCCATCTCACACATCTCAGTAGAAGTGAGAAAAGAAGAAATCCAAATCAACTGGATAGCCCCTCTTTTTTTTCACTTGGTATGAACTAATACCCAGCCCATTTGATGGCCACTTTTGACATGAATGTTACTAGTGAATATGCCTGATTTCAGACCCTTGTTCATCTGGTTCCCCACTACTAACATACCGCCAAAAGCACCAGCATGAGGACCTCACCTTGCATCAGGCGGACTTTCATGCACCCCGGTCTAGCAGGGCACAGGATCCCTCTCTCCTTTGGCTGCCACATTGCTAGCAGCGATGCAGAGCCCCAGGCGACTCCCACATCTGGAATCGCAGCTTGCAAAGGAACATCCCAACTGGCCCTTAAGGACCCAACATTTCACAGCTGGGAAAGCCAGCCAAATCGAAGTATTGCCAATTTTGACATGACAGCCTCTCCTGCCTGCAGACACACAGATGCCTCTTTCATCTGCCAGAGAAGCAGGAGCAAGACTTCCATCAGCCCCTCCGAGCCGCTCACACCGAACGCAAGAACATCACCATCCCTCCTCGCCAGTCCTTAACAGGTCAAAGACCCTAGAATCCGCACAGGCGCCTTCTTTCTGTGAGCCACTTACTCCAGCTCCATTTGCAACAGGCGCCCTCCTCAATATTTATGATTGCATTTATCCCTCGCTTTCCGCGAGGCGCCTCAAAGGCGGCGCACAAAAGACGTGCATCTTTCGCAATGGCCGGATCCGGATTGCAAAGCCACCTCTTCCCCGGGGCTTGCTGCTCCCTCCCGCTCCCTCCCCACCCCCCCACCGCTCCTTAGCCAGAAAAGAAATCCCGTTGTTCTTAGCCAGAGGAGCTGACCCCGGGGGCAACTCGGCGGCCAAGGCTCCCCGCACTTTCCGGAGGGAGCTTTCTGCTCTCCTCGCGCCACTCCGTAGCTCTTCCCCGATTGTAAATGCTGCCATGGTTACCCAAGCAAGAATGCGAGAATAAATACAAAAGCCCGCCATGCAAAGGCAACTCTTCCTCCGCTTTCGTTTCCCGCTCCTCCATCTCCCAACCCCCTCGCAATCCATTCAAGCAGCCGCTGCCAATCTCTCCGCAAGCGAGATTAATGCTCCGGCGGCGCCGAGCATCCCTCGCGCTCCCTGCGCAGTCGAGCAGCGGCAGCCGCCGCCGGAGCAGCAACCCGAAAGCGAGCTGCGCCAACGCGATTGCGCCGCGCTCGTCGGCGCGGAGGGTTTGCTGCTGCTGCTGCTGCTGCTGCTGCTGCGAGGATGAGGATGAAACCAAAGGTCACCCCCCCCCTCTGGAAGATCACCGTGCCACACACACTTACGATGAGGGGGATAGTCCTCTCTTCTTTGTGGATCTCGACTTTGCCCGTGGATCTCTGCCCATTCCTGCCGCCGCCGCTGCTCGGCGATCGGCTGGATGCTGCTGAATGAGGCTTGTTGTCCTGCCACAAGTAATAGAAAGTGCCCAGGATCCAGGCTACGGTCAGGATGGCGATGGCATTAGCCCGGATCCTCCTCATGCTGAGAGACCCGGAGTAAACTGAGGAAGAGGGATCTGGGGGTGGGGTGGGGATCAGATGTAGGAGAGGTGCGGGGGGTGGGGTGGAGAAGAGACTGATTGGGGGGGAGTGGTGATAGGATATTCTCTCTCTCTCTCTCTTTCCCTCTTATTTGGCTGGCTCGTACAGTCACAGCTGTTTGTTTTAGCTCTTGTCTCACTGCTCAGTCCTGCAGAGCGAAGAGAGCGAGGGAGCGAGCGAGAGCTCTTCAGGGTCCTAATGCCCTTTGCAGCAGCTACATTTTTATATATATTATCATCCCTTAACAGCCCATCCTACAGGGGACAATCTAGCTTTGCATTTCCGACTGGCTCAGAGGGACAGGACCCAGCATTTATGTCCTCCCGTTTATTTGTTTTTTTAGCACCTGCCTTTGACATTTTAAAGAAGGGGGCATATTTTCCTTCGTGCGTTGTATTTTGGGGGAGCTTGGTGATAGTTTCAAGGCCCCGTGGGGGAGGGGAGGGTGCAAAGAGCGCAGTGGGCTTTACTTACCGTGCTCATAAAGCAGCAGGAAGCGGTTCATTCGTTGGTCGCCAAAGGGAAAAAAACATCTTATAAGCCTGAGTAGCGCTGCTCCTCGTTTGTGAACACAAATTTGACACTATTTGCATGCAGTTAGTTCTAAATCTGGTGCTGCTGGACATGTTGCATTTCCCAGCATGCCAGGGGCTGCAAGACAGATCTTGCCCAGCAAACCCAAATATTTAAAATCATAGAATCTATAGAGCTGGAAGGGTCCTGGGGGGGGTCATTCAGTCCAACCCTCTACAATGCAGGATTCAAGTCCAGCATCCCTGGCAGATGTCTGACCACCCTGTGCTTAAATAGCTCTAGTGAAGGGCAGCCCACCACCTCCCAAGGTAGTGGGCCTCCTAACATTTCACTGATATCTAGATATCTGCTTCCCTGCAATCCACCCAATGCCTGGAACAACAGATATTAAGCCTCAGTGCTTTTTTCCATTAAAAATTCTGCCCCTCAATGAGGCCAAACTTAGAGTCACAAAATGTTTATGGGTATGTGTACCGTACCCCCAGAAAAAAAGCACCGATAAGCCTATTCCATCTTCTTGCATGCCAGTCCTTTCAGATATTGGAAGGCTGCCATCATGCCCCCTTAATCTTGGTTCTCAGACCCCTTATCATCCATTCTCTTCTCTGGCCCCAGGAGATTTGAAAACATGAGAGATTGTGGGGAGGGATTTTGCCTCTTGGAAGATGAATCATGCAGAAAGCCTTGCCGTCACACTTTTGATGTGCCCTTGCAACCCCAACATCTAAAAAAATAAAAAAAATAAATACCAGAACTGCTGTTCTCACCAAGGTAACAAGAGCATCCGGGTAAAACAACACTATTGGGGGGGGGGTCGCTTGCAGCCTGGTTTTAAATTAATGGTTTGTCATTGATAAATGCATTTAGAATTCCAGCCCTGGATTTCTGCAAAGAGGATGAAAGTGAAATCTTGATGTCCCTTGAAATTATGTACGTTATGACCATGGAAAATCTAGCCATCCTGCTAGAATGAAAAAGCACCAGACAGGTATAAAAATGTCCTTTGAAAGGGAACAGAACATGACCGTGTTGCAGACAGAATGGCCCCTGTTAACTTTTGTGAGCAATTGTGGTATTGATGATTCAGTAGGAATGATTCAGACTCCTGTCTCAGCTAGAATTGACTACGCAAACAAACACCCCAGGAGGATGACATTAGATGCAGAGTGGCAGGGAGAGAGGAGTTCTGGTGGATCCTTGTATTCATAAAACTTCTGTTACACCTACTAGGAAACACGGAGTCAGTCAGAACATCCTAGTCAAATGCGATTGAGTTGGGCTGTGCAAGTTCTAGATGCTCAGCCCAACTCCTTTGCCCAAAAGACTTTGGTGGGAGCTGCTGCTTCCTAGCAACAACAACAACAAAAGGGAGGGAGCTAAGGATGGAGAAATGAAATGCTTCCTGGTTATTCCTGGTTCCATATGGACACTCTGTACTTTTTGCTCCTATACTAGATGAGAGTGTGTCTTTATTATGATAATCTTTTGATAGCTTCTTCAGGCTACAAAGTAGAATATTTTTTAAATATATGTATCAGAATCCACTAAAACAGGGGGGTGGAACACCAGTTGTTGTTAGAGACCAGCTCCCATCATCCCTGCCCTATGGCCGCACTGATTGGGGCTGAAGGGAGTTGGAGGGTCGCAGTTCCCTTAGCCCTGCAGTAGAACTTTCTCCTCAGCGCGGCATAATCAAAACAATTGGGAGAAGTACAAGAGCCTGGCTGTTTCAATTCAACAGGACTCATGCAGAAAACTTTCCCAGGGAATTGTGCTCACAGTTATTATTTCTAGGGAGGCCATATGGCTGCAGTTGAATATTTATTTTTAAACCCTAAAACTTGAAGAATGCAGATATTCTGCGTGTAATGTAATGGTCCCATATTCCCTGAGGCCTTGCTGTGCTAGCAGCGTGAGGGGGTGAGTTTCTGTTTCTCATGGTGGACAACAGCTTTGGAATATGGGAACTGTGAAGACAGGAGTGCCTGGTGTGCTCTGGTCCATGGGGTCACAAAGAGTCGGACACGACTAAACGACTAAACAACAACAACTTCATCCCAAAGGCACACTGGAAGGGAGGAGTGTTATTGATGTGATTTTTAATCTGCAGTTAGCTCCAATCTAGGGTAGCTCCAAGCTTCTCAGGTGGATATTTCGGAAATCCGAGTGAAGTTTAGCAATCCCAACTGAGGATGTGCAATACCCGTGATGAACAAGACCATAGTGCAGTCAAAGCACAGGAGCTGAATCTCACATTATTCTTATTCTTATTATTTGTATCCTGCCCATCTGACTGGGTTGCCGTAGCCACTTTGGGTAGCTTCCGACAGATGTAAAAGCACAATAAAACATCAAACAGTAAAAACTTCCCTGTCTGATCTGTAATGAGTGAGCTTCTGTCTGTGGAGTGAGCTGAGGAGAATTTTGGTAAGGCAAGACAGAGAGCAGGACAGACACAACTCCAAACGAGTAATGGCTGTTAAATCTGACTACAGTTTCATAACACCAAATGACACCTTGTAGCCAAAGGGGGGGGGTGGATAAACTTTTCCACACCAAGGGCCACATTCACATATGAGCAACCTCCCAGGGGCCTCATCATGGTGGTGGATGTGGTCAGAGGTAAAAGTGGGCTGGGCAACAGCTGTGACTCTTACCTCGTGCCGTTGTCCACATACCAGCCATGCAAAAGGCATGTACACCTGTACACTCTTACCTCTCCATCCTCCCTCCAGGCAAGCAAGATGCATGATCACAGTTCCAGCATACACTCCAGCCAGGGAAGAGCACTTGTAAAGGGATGGAGCAGGGCCAGGGAGTCCTGAGGGCCAGATAGGGAAGCCTGGGTCGGGGGCTTCTCTGGGCTCTGGACCTGCAGTTCCCTCCCCATGTTTTAGCCTGAAATGCCTTTTATAGTTACTGTTTTGCTGTCCTGGCAGGAGACGGTCAATTTTAGATCAAGTGCCCATTTCAGAAAAGGCAGGTTTACTTTTGAAATATAAATAAGGGAAATGCAAATAAAATAAAATAAAATGGATGCACTGCTTGAAAGTTTGTCCTAAGCTGTATAAAGGTAAAGGTAAAGGAACCCCTGACCATTAGGTCCATTCGTGGCCGACTCTGGGGTTGTGGTGCTCATCTCGCTTTATTGGCCGAGGGAGCCGGCGTACAGCTTCCGGGTCATGTGGCCAGCATGACTAAGCCGCTTCTGGCGAACCAGAGCAGCGCACGGAAACGTCGTTTACCTTCCCACCGGAGCGGTACCTATTTATCTACTTGCACTTTGACGTGCTTTTGAACCGCTAGGTTGGCAGGAGCAGGGACCGAGCAACGGGAGCTCACCCTGTCACGGGGATTCGAACTGCCGACCTTCTGATCAGGAAGTCCTAGGCTCTGTGGTTTAACCCACAGCACCACCTGCGTCCCCTCCTAAGCTGTATAGTACCAAGCATATCTGCTTATCCATTAAGCCCAGGGAAAAGGCAGACAGAAAAGTTCCAACTGTCCAACTTAACAATATTAGGGGGTTATAGTGGTATACACAAAGCAAATGAAATGAATGTCTGTCTAGGCTATCTTCTTGAGGTGTTGCCTCCTCCACACTAGAAAACAGTGGCAGTGATATCATTAAAACACTGAAACATTAAACATTTGGTCATACTTAATATGGGTCAGTATGATATTTCAGAATGATTCATTCCACCTGGCAGAAAGATTTGTAACATGAGTAGGAAGATCCCAAAATTGTTGAGCTTTTTTTAAATGAAAACACCAACCATTGTGATTTTTCAGTTTACTTGCCAAAGATCCAGGACAAACCTCCGCCTTCCAGAAATTCCCCCAGACATCACTTCTGCTTTTGAAATCCCAGTAATGTCCAGGAAAATCTGTATGTATGGCAGCATCACATGAGAGATATGACCAGTTTTAGGTTATTATTATCAAACATCCCCACTTCCCCCCAGCACTGCATATATCTCTTCCTCAGTAGCGAGAAGAGCCATCTTTTGGATTCATTCAGACTCTTCTGTCACCTTTACCAGTAATCTATTCCAAATGTTTGTTTCCACCAGTATCAACTGGTAAAAATCTCTCATATCACCACTTGCAGGTTGGTTGTGGGTTTTTTTTTAAAAAAAGGTAAATTCTGGTACCAAACTTTATTTCAAGCTTAACTATACAGTGGTACCTCGGGATAAGAACTTAATTCGTTCTGGAGGTCCGTTCTTAACCTTAAAATTAAACCGCTGCTGCACGATTTCTGTTCTCATCCTGAAGCAAAGTTCTTAACCCGAGGTACTATTTCTGGTTTAGCGGAGTCTGTAACCTAAAGCGTCTGTAACCTGAGGCGTCTGTAACCCAAGGTACCACTATAAGGGGAAAGATTTTGTTATTCCAGTAACTTCATGGGCAGGAGGGTTTGAACTTAATGCGGGATTGCCCACTCACCCCATCCAAACTCTAGAACCTCTATAGGAGCCAAATAATGCAGTTACCCATTTGTTGGACTTGCAACCTTTGTAATGTAGAACCACATTCTCAATGAGCAGCTCCTATGTACAAGATATTATACCAGTCATCATAGATGCATCTACACTATAC